CTGAAACTTGAGTTCTTTAAATGGTTCCTGGTTTTGCAGAGTCTACGACATTGAAAATACTATTGGGTATCCTCCTAACCAATTTTGACCTGAAAATTAAGTTCTTTAAATGGTTCCTGGTTTTGATCAGATTGCCTCTTCAGAGGATACATTCCGTATCCTGTTAGGTTCTTTACAAAAGCCGTTACGAAAGGACCTCTTTTGTACAAGATCTAAATCCGACTGAAATGGTTCCCTCCACGAGATATATACATAACCAAATACTAAATTGTGTATACCTCTCCCGTCTCCTCCTGAGCACAATTGCAGTTTGCCAATGAAATGATAATTTGGAGCCTTTGTTGTGTCTTCATCTGAATTTCAGGTCTCTCTCTCTCGTCATGGGGGTTACCCATCCCCCAACCTTGTTGGCAGCAGGATTTGATCCCAAGTCTGCTGTTACAATCAACCAGAGAACTTACCACCTGAGCCACCATAAGTTGAACGATTTGAATCAGGTCCATGCACAGGTGAAGTTGCTGTTTCTCCTTTCTAATCCTTGGTTATGGTTTACTGGTTAATTTAATTTGTAATGTAAATGATGAACCACTGAACCAAAAAGCGGAATTCTGGGGTTTATGAGAGCCCTAGCCTCCTATGCCAGGCTTTATGCAGAAATGATTTGCTCAGTTGCTGTATCCACTCAACCTTTCAAAAAAAGGCAATTTTAAGAGAGGTGGAAATTTGGGATACAATTTTTTAGTGTAGAGAACTAAGATGTGAATTATGGAAATTTAAATTAATTCCGAATAAAAATATCAATTACATATCCAAGCATAAAACCATCAGGACAACTTTTTTGTGTTTCAAAATTATCCCCTTTGCTACCCAATGTGCTGGACTATGTAAATATTCAGTTCGTCTAATATAGTTTATTTATCTATAAAAAAGTCTTCAGAAAATGCAGTTTTAAGAGATGTATTGAAAATTTGGGATACAATTTAGATAGGCATAGATATGATGGAAAAAGATTAAGATATGAATGGATACATAAGGAAAACTCAGGGTCTGCTTTGTAGTTAGAATCAGAATCGGAATTGAAATTGAAATCCTTTGGAACAGAAATCGGAATAATCTATTCCCATAATCTATTTGGTTTAGGCAAGAATGAAATAAAAATTGAAATCAATAGAAATGGAATTTCATTCCTAAGGGAGGGGGAGGGAATGATTATTCCTTCAAATGAGAGAGTGTCATTCCACCAGAAATAAATACGATATTCCAATTCTGCCCAATCAAACAGTTGAAATCGGAATAATCTATTCAAATCTCAATTTCAGATCTCTATTCCTGTGAATGAAATGGGGCATGCTAATTGTAAATCTTAGATGGTCATATCACACTTTAGTTTATGTGAAGTGTGAACTATTGGGATGCACTTAACGTTGAAATCATATTTCAAAGTATCAACATGGTTGATACTATTTTTATTTCAATATTTAGGCATTCAAAACATTGATGCATTATGCTTATTTTATACTCTTCCACTGAACGCACATCATTCCACCATCACTTGACACATGGTGCCACCATTTAATCTTATCAGATGTATATAGTGTATTGGCAGCCTTAAAAACTGATGCATCATATCATAAGAACAGTGTATGTATTGCCTTGAATCATGGTTGAAAAATGATAGAGCAAATAAAATTTAATCAATTTTTAGAAAATCAATTTAATTATTGTTAATATTTATAATATATAAAATTTAATGATTAATAATCTTTAATGATTTAATTGACATGCAGTGAGAAGGGAAAAATGTCCAAAAGTTAAGATTTATAATTTATATAATTATGACAAGTGATTGGTAGTGGGACGGTGGATTTATTGTCTTTCGACTAAAATATTCAAAGTAGGGAAGTGGGAATGAGTGTTGAGTTAATAAGGGTTAATGATGTGAAAAATTTTGAATTTGACAGAATTAGAAAACTCATCAGACTGTCCGATTCACGGTGGATGTTAAAGTCAATGTGAATCAGAATCAGACCATTTCCTCTTTTATAATTAGAGGTGTAAATCGGGATGGCACGATGGCACATGCGCTGTGTGAGGTCCAACACGATGGTCCGGGTTGTGTTAGGCCTGAGGTTCTAGGTCCATGGGTTAATATGGCACGACATGATTGTATATGTCATGCCACCCGTGATCCACGTGCCGTCACAGCTTAGCCTGTAGCATGGCACACGCCACGGCCCATGGGCCTGTAGCGGGTTGTGCTTGGTCCACCCGATGAACTAGCTGTTGGGGGGGTCCCCAATGGCTAGTTTCAGCTTTTTGAGTTTTTTTACAGAAATACCCCCCAACAGCTACAAACAGCTAGGGGTGGATTCGAGCCGAGCCCAGTCGAATAGTATGAGGCTTGGGCTCGTTTCGCCAAGGAAGTACAAGGCTTGAGCTCGAGCTTGAGCTTGATTCGAGCTAGAACCTTGAGCTCGAGCTCGGCTCGGCTCAAGCTCGACTTAAGAAAAAATGTTTTATAAAAAAATTATATATAAAAATATTTTTTATTTGATATTTAAAAAGTTAAGAATTATAATAATTAGTTATTATTATATATAAAAATAAAAATATTATTATTATATTATTATTTTCTATAATTTTATAATTTATTATTATATAATATTTTTATTATATATTATTTTCAATAATTTTCTATATTATTATTATTATTATTAATGTAGCTATTCGAGCTCGACTTGCGAGCTTTATGAGCCGAACTATATTAGGCTTGAGCTTGGTTGAAACCGATCCAAGCCGAGCTCGAGTAGCTCGTGAAAAGTTTGACTCGTAGCCATCCCTACAAATAACTATATAGGGGGTATTTATGTATTTTGGTTTTGGAGGGAGAAAGAATGACACAAATGCCTCCCAACAATTATATAACAGCTAGTCTGGGGGGCATTTTGGGTAAAGTGATAAATAACTTTATAATGACCAAAATACTCTTCCCAACAACTAAAAAACAACTAGTTTTTAGGGTATTGTGGATAATTGAATTATTTTCAATTCCTATAAATAGCCTTATCCTCCACCATTCTTATCACACCAATTCAACAATTCTCTTAATCTCTTCTCTAGTTCTCTTTCAAGTCTCAGTCTGTCATATATTTTTTGATTCTCCAATTCTCAACTTTATTGAAGTTTCAACAAGAAGAAGGCTTGCTCAACAACTCAAGTATCTCAAGTTGGCATTTTGGGAGGCATAGACTCTTGGAGTTGAAAAGCTTCAACCCTTGAAATCAAGTTGAGATTTTGAACCAACAATTCGGGTAAGTGCAATTAAATTAATTTTTATCTTTTTAGAATTTAAAAAAATGGCTGGCACCTCCTGAAACCAATTCCCCAACATGTTCAATGTTGAAGATATTCAGTCGCAACATGGTAGTGTTAGCACCGATATGGATGCTATTGATATTGACGGAACTTCCACCCCTAGTAATGATACTAAAGGGAAGAAAAAGAAGGCCACTAAGTTGATTAACTCGGTTTGGAAAATATTTAAAGTAGAGGAGGTTCAGGGGAAGGGAAAAAGAGTTATTTGTCAAAAATGTAGGAAAAGACTTTAGCTATTGTAGCAAGGGTGGTATTGGCCGTTTGGGCAGACATTTGCTCACCCATGAGAAAGGAAGGAGAAGAAGGGAGAGAAACAATACAAATACAAATTGGGCGAGGGGGGGTTGGTGCTTTTAAATATTCTCAAGAAAAAATGAGGCAAGAAATAGAAAAATACACTGTACATGTTGAACAACCATTTTTGTTAGTTAAAGAGACTAAACTTGAAAATGGTTACATAATTCTGTAAATTTTTTTTATTCATATAAACAAAATTTAATTTATATGTTATCAAATCTTAATTCTAAAGTTTCAATTACTTCTGCTTTTTGGACTTCTAAATTTAACATAAGTTATATTTGTGATACCGATCATTTTATTGATGAAAATTGGCTTTTAGATAAAAGAATTTTAAGTTTTACTATAATGATCACATACTAGCCCAACTATTGCTGCAAGTATTTTAAATACTTTACATGCTTATGGAATTAACAATAAATTATTTTGTATTAGCTTTGATAATGCTAGTAATAATGATTCAGCAATAAATATTTTAAAATCTCAATTAAAACCATGTTTAAATGGTAAATTATTTCATATTAGATGTGCATGTCACATCTTAAATTTATGTATTCAGGATGCTTTAAATATTATTTCTTCTCATATTTCTAAAATTAGAAATTGTATTATATATATTAAAAGTTTTGGAGCAAGAAAATAAGAATTTAAATATTTATGTAAAAAATTATGGTTTAAAATATAAACATTTTATATTAGATGTTAAACATAGATGGAATTCTACCTATGCTAAGTTAGAAAATTGTATTTCTCACAAATAAATTTTTAGTGATTTTTATAATGCAAAAATGCCTACTGATATTATATTTGAGGAAGATTGAGAAATGGTAATTTGTATAAGAGATTTTTTTAAAGCATTTTTATGATGTAAGTAACAAATTATCGGGTATTTATTATCCAAGTAGTTATAATTTAGGTTATCAATTAATGATTATTAGCAATTTTTTTTTTTTGCAAAATATAGAAAGTATCCACAATTTAAAAGTATTGTTGAAATAATGGAAAATAAATTTAAAAAATATTGGGAGAACATTTCTCCTCTTTATTTCTTAGCTACAATATTAGATCCTAGGATTAGAAAAGATGGTTTAGA